GACCAGGTGTTATCTCCAAGGGAAGACAAAGGAAAAAATCAAATTAACAACTTTCTTGACTATGGGTAGGGTTATAGTGCAGAGGAGCTCTGGCACTTTTTTCAGACCCATGATATTCAGCTGAATATGATTGGAAATATTTAGAATATTTATGATATATATTATTTTATAATAATTGATTAAATAGTGTACTTTAGTTAAATGATAAAATATCATGAATATTAGATAGTTATTTTAAAAGTACAATAAGGAGTTGTGAAAATGGTATTGATCATTGAAATAGCTCTGCTAATTTTTGTTTTCACCAATGACTGCCAAAGATATATAAAAACTACAAATACATAGGACAAACGAGAATTTAGGAAATATTTTACCACACTCCACCCCTATCCCCCTGTTTCAATCTTGTCCTCAAGCGGACATAAATGTTAAACTTTAAAATCAGTCAGATTTACAACATGTTGGTCAAGGAGTAGTATTGTTACGACAGCGGAGGTCACGTGACTCTAGTTACATGTCATATTCTCGAAGCTTCGTGAATCCTCGGGAGGTTACTAGATTTCGGTATTCTTACTCCCCCCACTGTTGATGGCCTATAGGACAACAGAGCATGAAGCCACTGGATACACTCCAGCAAAGTTGATGTTTAGTCGGGATCCTGTTAACAGATCCACTGGCAACCGAAGGGTGGGCGTCGCACTTGATGGTGAATATCATCCATCCTTTCCGATAACACTTTCACAAACTCTGACACATTCTCAGGCAACTCTTCATAATACAAACTTGAAAACGTCTGCTGATTCGATGAAGTTAACTTATGATAAGAGATATACTTAAGTCAGCTTTGTACCAGGAGACAAGGTATGGTTGTATAATCCCAGGAAGACCAAAGGGAAGTCTCCTGAGTTGTCTTCTCCATGGGAAGGCCCATATGACATAGTGGATCGTCTCTCAGACGTGACTTTCCGGGTAAAATGTGGTCGGCGAGGTAAGCCAAAAGTGGTGCATGCCAACAGGTTTTGGCGTTATCACGGTCCAGGACATTTCAGTTGGGATGAAGTGAACAAAGGAACAAATGACGCTGCTGAAGACGTGCCACCTGAAGAAGCCACCGTTGAAGAAGAAACTCTCCTCAGTTTTGAGAAGGGAAACGGTGAAGCTCTTGATGAAGTTACTACCACTGATGTGACTGTTACTGACGATAGGACATTTCCTGATGAAGCAGATGAACCCCACGTGAAGCAGCAGCCAACGAGATGGAGACCAGTATGGAAGAAGATACGTCCCGTAAAATTAAGAGACTTTTGTGTTTGTAAATTCTGTACACTTAATCAATTTATTGTTAATTATCTATTGGGTTAATGTAAGTGGCTATTGTTCGGGACGAACAATACTAAGGAAGGGGCAGTCTTACGACAGCGGAAGTCACGTGACGCTGGTAACATATCATGAGTTTCTAGAAGGATCATGACTGTTCCTGGGCAACTCTAGTGTTTGCCAGACGCCTTCTATTTTAGTATATAAGCCCGGCAAATAAAGCGGAGAAGAAGAGTGACGTATGTATAATAGCAGATTGAAGAGAGGTATAGAGACAGATAATATAGTCAAGTGAGCGGTAGTGACCATAAGAAAAGTGCGTGAATTGTTGTAAATTATAGCGTGTGTTTAAGTTAAAGTGACTGTGAAAATAATATGTATTGCAAAGTTGTATCGAGAAAGAATAAACTAGTTTTATTTAAGAAAGGACTTGTATTGGTGAAGTTCCTCAGGAAGAATCTTTACGGGAAATTATCAAACGAACAGAGATGTAACAATAACATTATTTCCCTCCTTCTTCCCAAGAAAAGGACACGATGTCCATTGGCAACAATATTTGAGATGTACATTTTTCTGTAATACATAATAAATACGAAGAGAAAAGAACATATTTTAATCTTAAGAATTCCCTCTGGGTTAAAATCCAATGCATTCTTCATATGACAGGTAAGATATGTGTGTTTTGTGAACAAGTTTTGCACTAATTTCTAACTTGAAATCAGGTATAGATCATTTTGTCGTTACAAAGTTATTAAAATCAAATAATAAAATTATCCAAACGTCTAGTTTAGATGGAAAACGACCATAAGTTGTGAGGTGAAATTGCCTTACCATTGTCAGTTCGACTGGCATGCTTTGAAAGTTCAACACATAGCAATGGTAGCTTCTTGGGCATGTCAAAAAGCATGTGAGTTCCAAGCTAGTGTTATTTATATCTATGGTTCATAGACCTCTGAATAAGGTGTAAACCAAAATGTTGGATAGAATATTAATAAAAATAAAATGTTTAGCTCAAGTTGTTTGTGGTTTTCATTGTTTAAAATTTTTAATGTAAATAATAAAATAAAATAATTTACCTAGCCCAACAGGACCAATTAGAATTTTAAGCCTTTTTTTTATTTTACCTTGTCACCGAATGCACATTTCTATACTTTTCTGAAAAGCACAGTTGTGTTTTTATCTCGTGAAAGTATCTCTGAAATGAAGTCTAGCTTTCTGGAGATTCCTTCCTGGACTATTTCTAGGCAACATGTGGAATATTGTGTTCAGTCTTGGGCTCCTTACCTTAGGAAAGAAATTGAATTGTTGGAAAGGGTTCAGAGAAGGGTGCCTGGGATGGAGGGGCTGTCATACGAGGAGAAGATGAAATCTCTCAAATTGTTTTCTCTTGAAAAAGGAAGAGTTAGAGAG